TTTGGTAGTACTGAGGGATTTAGGAAGGGTTGAAATACATTTAGAAAATAACTAAAGCAGAACCTTCCTCAAAAAGGTTGCACATAGGCCATACAGAATCTACACTCATCTTCATGCTAGAAATGTACTTCAACCTCCATTGCCTGCGGGCCTTTCAGATGAACCACGTACCAATGTCCTTTACAAGACAAGAACTGGGAGTTCAGGTGTACATCCTCCTCTTCTCTCCATACATCTAAGTGCAATAAAGGCACTTTCTACTGGTATATCTGAAAATCTTGTGTTACTGGGCACGTGAGTTGTCTTAACCGGTATATGGTGTGGAGGAATTTACCTACAAGAATAGGTCACAAACAAAATTGGCTTATATTTTCTGCTCAAAAGCAAAAGAACCAGACCAGACGGGGAATAAGAAGACCATCTGTGCCTAATTAAAGGGTGAGACTGCATAACAGCAACAGATGTTATATTATTGTAGTCAGAAGAGTTTATTGCTAACAGTGGTAAATATTGTGCATGTTGAGCTGGATATTTCCAAGCAATAATTTAACAGACATACTTCCACATAGGCTACCCTTTGCTTCCTGGACTACATTTCATTAGTTTTTAGTGTCCTGAAAGGTCAAATTGCAGAAGAGGTCTATATAGCAGTATTTTCTACATACTGAGAATGCTGAGGACTGAAAAGCCAATGATGATACCCATCACAAAAAGGCATCTAGTGCTGATGATTAAAAAAACGTGCAAGTCTGCATGAAGAAGGCATGACAGAAAGGGCTAACATTCCTGCAGCTTCACTCAGTTCCTGAAAGCCCTCTTTAAAACTAGAGATAACCACCGTGAGAGGGTTCATATAGCTGCATGGATCAGAAGGATTCTGTAACATAGCATGACTCAGGAGCAGGGACCCCCTTCAATCTTCTCCTGAATAACTTCTTTAAGCTGTTTGCACCAATAGTCCAAAGGAGAAGTACACGGAGCATGGTACATGGAGCAGCAAACTCTTTCAGTCGCCATGAGCTTCTGCTGGCCGCAGAGGTAGACACACCTTACGTCGCCTGATAATTACAAGGTTACATCCAATTATATCTGTGTTAAGGCTTTATACAAGCCTCATTCCTCCATTTTGTTACTTCCTGTTCTCACTGTTCTGATTTGATGTGCAATTATGTACATTCCTGTTAATGTGACTCCACATGAAGCCTACAGTGTGACTTGGTGTTTTGTGACTAGGTGTAGCACCCAGCGTGGTATTAGCTACTCACATACAAAGGGATGTGGGGGTTTGTTTGTTTGTTTGTTTTAATTGGGCTTTTTACTTGCTTCAGAGTTGGAGCAATCTGAAGGGCTATGAAATTCTGAACTAAATGTGCAGGAACATCTAAGCAAACTTTTTTCTGAGCTTACTTTTTTCCTTTCTTTTGCAAAGATTTCAGATCGTTTTCATTGCTGAAGCAAGGAATGACAATAGCTCACAGGCTTTATTACCGCTTTGTGTTTCTGCTTGCATCCCTGTTCTCTTCTTCCCTAGAGAGAGCTTTCCACGCACGTCTCTTGAAACAGTCATTCTCTGCTTCTGAGACACAAGTTATGGTAAGGGGGCACTTTGTGGGTAGGCTTACAAGTATTATGCTGATAAAAAAGGATCAAATAAAGTCTTGCTTTGTCCAGAAGAGGTAAGTTAGAAACTGGGAATGAATGAATGCCCAATCAGTGATCTACAGTTACAGGAGCTGATGGGAAGCAGTGTCAGGAGAACCCAGAGGTTGCCATAGAAATGTAACAATGGGTGCAATCCCCAGGGACTGCACCTGAGTCAAGTACCAAACATGCAGGAATTCTCAGTGAATGAAACTCTCAAGTTTAAGAGAAAAATAGAAACCATATCACAGATAAAGATAATTGAGCTGTCTGTCCTGTTTGTGATATCACGGTAGATCCTATCTGGACATCAGCCGTGATTGCTGCTATGCCGCTTTCCCAGCCTTGTTTGGGTGAAATATATAAACCTCAGGAGAACTTTCAGAGCATCAGTGTACGTCTGCTGGCTTCTATAGTTCCTTTTGCTAGGAAATCTAGAAACACATTATCATTTTTTGACCACAGCAAGCATTTCAGTTGCTTGTTATGGAAATTCTGTGTAACAACAGCCTAATGCATTCAACTTTGGGATAGCATTTTTCTGACCGTTTTTGAGTGACTCACAGTTTTTAAAAAGACAAGAGGGTATTTCTTGGGTAGAGGGAGGACGTACAAAAGTGGTTCTATTTTAAGAAGAGCCTTAACTCTGAATATCCTTCATCCAACGAGCCACTGGAAGAGAGGGTGCCATGCAACCTGTAAGCCTCTTTCTAAATCCATTTCTGCATGTAGACCCACATACCTGGAAAAATAAAAGAAGCATTATGATAGGTCTGGCAAGATTGATATTTCTACTGTTTGGAAACATAACGTTTCTCCCCATTAGAGGCATTCTGGAGTGAAGAAAATTGATTGCATTTCAATCAACTAGGGTTGTAAACAACAAACGTAGACGGTTCCAAACCCCCAAATCCACCACCAGAATACCCTCTAGTGTAAATGAGGGAATAGATGTCATTAATATTGACTGCCCTGATATATTAGACATTGGAATACCTGACAGGGCTTGTTGGTCTTTTGATAGTAAAATGAAACAATTTGTTTTTGAGGAGATACAGTGCCCTCATTAAAATGTTAATCTTAGAGGGGGGAGACCAAGGCTTATGTCTTAGCCCTGTCACAGATTTCCAGCAGGGAGCCGAATTCTTAAAAAAGATATTCATTTAAGCACCTAGCAAAATTAAAACAAAACAAAACAAGCGTAATCAACTGGGAACCTAGCAGTCACTAATTCATTCAGTAATCTAAACATCTTAAGCACTCTGACTTGGGAGGTTAGGTGCTGGACTTCTGCAACCTAAAGCCCAAGTGCACAATCTAAGACAGAGATCGGGCTCCCGCCGCAGTGCGGGGAGGGAGACGGGCATCCTCTGAGGTTATTCATCTGCCCATCTCAGACAACAGTGTCGAGAAAGGATGGTGGTGTCTTTCTCTCTCTGGTGACTGCAGAGGGAACCGACGTAAATTTTAATAGCTATGTTTTGGTCATACAAATCCCATCCTCTCAGCCTTCCCAAATGCAATAACATGACTTTTGGACCTGCCAATGATGTTGTTCACATGCCCACAGGTGACTATGAAGTATTTATACTAAGAAAAAGCTTAAATTGTATATAAGAAGGCGGCTATTTTCCTATAATTTTCCTACCTATCTCAATCAATTAGAAACACCATATATATAGTTTATACCAGTACATTGTGTCAGAACCTCTTCAAATAGTTTGTTTTAGATAATGTATATATGAAAAAAGGAGAAACCTTGTAATACTACACATTTTTTCACATTTAGCAACTGTTTTTGTAAAATACAAGCAAATTGTTATTCATTAAAAAAAAAAACGTTTCAGAAGGGGGTAGAACTCTCTCTGAATTAATTTAAAATTCAGCAAATGAGTTTTGACAAGAGAAAAAGAAGAAAACATTTGGAGAGGTCAGACTTTTGGTTCAACAAAGTTAACCGTTTGCAATTTTATTCAAGTTGATGTTATCATTTCAAAATTGATCTACTATATAGAAGGTATAAATAGCCCTAAATGAAACTTTGAAAATGAAACTCCAGAATGAAGCTTTTCATTTCAGCCCACCCTAAAACAGTTCTCCCATTTTCATTTTCTTTAGTTTAAGCACTGAATGAAAAAACCCACAATTATTTTCAGATCTCTCATTAAATTATGAGAAATACTTACAGAAAAAGATCTTTCCTTCTAACGGAACAATGAAATTCTTAGACTTCAGAAATATATAAAATATCATTATAATGTTAAAGAGCAATCTAAAGAAACAGATTTTTTAAGAAAGTTTTATTTTCGTTCATAAGAGAATAAAGTTATTCATTAAATGCTTGTAGATGAAAGCTTGGTTAGTGAACATGTTTATCTTCCAATAAAATGCAGTTCTGCAAGATATTTTACTTTACAGTAAATGCACAACAGCAGCAACTTTTGTTACTTTACGTGCAATGTACATGAAGATGCCGCATGATTTACAGGGCTTGATTCCATTCTCACTCATCAGCTTCCCACTGGTGTTGGGCGCGATTCCTCTTGATACTGGCTGAATTCCCAGTCTAAGTGAGAGGAGAATCAAACATGCAGGGTTTTTTTTTTGTTCAGGACAATGAATAACAATGAGCTTGCCTAGTTCTAGCAGCTTTACTTCATTCTGATGCATATGTTGTGGCCTCTCTGCTCATTAGCACATACATTCAGGCTCCTGCTAAGCAAAACATAATATATCTGTACATGAAAGTGCTCAGTGATTTTCATTCCTTCTGTTCCCACAGCTCTGCGCCCTTAACAACAGCCCTGCATGCTCTACAGAGACAGCACCAAGTGGCAGTGTACGTTAGGAAGGCACAATGACTCCTTGAGACTCCACATGTTTATAAACCATCTGCTGGCAGCTACAAGCCATGAGACCATGAGTTGTGCGCACTTCGCTGTGGTTGGTCAGATCTGCCAAAAAATAGATACTAGGGCAAGAGTGTCCCTTCTATTCCCCATGCCCCACAGGGTGTCTGCAGGAAGAGGGATGGTTGGGGTCCTACTGCTGAGACTGCACGAGCAAGGAGAATTCCTGCGTGCCTACCCAACTCACATGCATCACCACAAGGACCAGCTACAGCCACAATATAGCCCTTATCTCGCACTGATATCTGAAAATGCTGCAGCCTGGATAGCATATAAACTGTAATGGAGATCCTTGCATATGGAATTTCTAAGGAAGCAAAAGAAGCCTGCTTTTTGCTCCCTGTCTCTTCCTTGACTGTCTCTCCCTCCCTTGATCCAGGTTCAGAATCACGTCACACAGTAAGCAGGTATTGCAGAGGTAAGTATAGTATGTTACCCTTCCCTAAGGAGTCACACTTCTGTGTGCTGTGAGCTAAAGGAGGCAAAGCTGCCTTTCTGACTTTGGTTAAACTGACAGAAGCTGGCAGCCCGGATTCTTTTGCCTTTGGTCCCACTTTTGAGTTTCTGCTTGTCGCGTGTGATAAAGCTTTCAATCAGCTTCAGTTTTTCATGCTCTTCCTTCAGGAAGAAGTCCATAAGCACGCTCTTCTCCTTTTTGATCTGTTCACTGATGTCCTTGGGGATGTCAGGAATCATCCAGTCAACCAGAACACTGAGGAACATCACCAAGTTCTGCAAACACAGCAGCAGACATGAAGCAAGTACAAAAAATCCAAAATACTCACACTAAAGCAAAACCAAACCTTTGCTATAGCTATGAGGCAGGTATCAAACACATTTTGCTGATGGCATGTAGCATTAACCAATTGAGTAAGGCCTCAGTTCAAGAAACAGCTCAAGTTTGTGCAAAACTTCCCCTCAGTGGAGCGGCTGAATTAAACACATGCTTCAGTTCGGTTTGAAACGGGAAAGGACTTGGATTCATGAAATGATTAATGGCCTAAGCAGCTAAAACAGCCTTATTTTTTACAGGCGTTCAAAGGTGCTCAGTTCTCAACATCAAATTCACTGAGAGTGAGTTCAGAATCCATTACTATGAGGGCAACATCAGTGAAAGCATCTTCCAACACAATGATACCCATGTGTTTCCAATGTGGCCTGAGCAGACAGCAGACAACTTTCGTGGTCATCCTGTCCTCAAATCCTTCTGTCTGCTGACAAGCAGGGTTTTTTTACATTACGGCAGCGTGCAAGCCACAGCCCTGAACCTCAAGTGTCAAGGTCATTACAGGTGATGCTTATAACACAGAGGCAGGGAGCAGACTGGGCAAAAAGTTTTGCTTCTTTTTGAAATTTATAGATAAATTATGCTTTGGGGTTTATATTATCATGATAATGCTTTGAAAACTGCTGTGTTGTGTAATGCCTCGAAATGTGTGCGAACGTTTGCTGACAAGGCTACTAGCATGAACCCTCTGTCCCCATCTGAGACAATAGAGCTAATTAACCAGGGAATGTACTCTGGCAGAACAACAGGCAGGCTATTTGAAGCCCAGCATAACCAGTTGGTTTCAAATGTTTTGCAGCCAGTGGTGGAAAATTATTGAAGAAGCAGAAGAGGGCAATATAAACCAGGCAAGACTCACAGTCACACTTAGGAATATTTGGCAGTTGAGGAGAAAGGACAGGCAGATTTCAATATGAAGGGTGGGCCCAATTTGACTGTGGAGGGATCCCAGATCATCAAGGAGAGCAGAAGGTTTCTGCCATTCAGAAGGAATGATAGCCATGATAGCAAATCCCTTGCCAATGAAACCTCCACACTGGGAAGAATTTACTCCATTTATTTGTAGAAAGTAGCAAAAGACCTTGGAGGATTTATTATTTCTGTTTATTTCTTGCTTTGGGTAAAGGACGGCATTTCACAGGCCTACATAACATTTATGTGCTCTTCACAAGTGGTGCCCCTGAGAGTGTAAAAGCTGACAGAGTCCACTTAACTGAAACGTTCAAGAGCCTAGGGTATTTTGGGGATCACTGATAGTGCCAGGGGCTAATGCAGGCTGTGGGGCTTCCTTTCCATGAAGGGAGAGGAAATCTCCGCCAAGGAAGTGTGCCGCAGTGCTCCGAAGGGAGAACTTGTGCTGCAGCCCACTGACACCTCAGCAGGCTGGGTGCAAACACATCAGGATGGGTATTTGCAAACAGAAAAGCTCTATTGGACATGGGCTTCTTTGGCACATGCATTTCAATCCATTTATTATGATATTTCTGTGACTGAAATTGCAGCAACTCAACAGACTTACCTGAAATAGAATAACAAAAGCCAAGCGAGCAGATAAGACTGCCCAGTACTGTTTAGAAAACTCATACTGATTTTGGGACCAAGGTGGTTCTCTGTAGTCTTTGAACCTGTCGATAAAGACAGCTCAGTTATCACACAGTTTCAGCAATCTCTTCCTGCACCAATTGCTTTGATTAACATGATTTTTCAATCACAAAACCTAAAGAATCAAATCCTCCAGATGTTCCTACTTCTACCCCTATTATGAAATACAACTCCAGAATTAGAGCTGGACTATCTCCACTGAATTTAACAAGCTTAGTCTGGTTTTCATAGTTGTAACCAAAATCAGAACATTGTTCTAATGTTGGAAATTTCCAGATTTTCCAGGATTAACAAATGTCCCCTATTTTTTGTTATGTTAAATTGATCTTAGTGTACAGGGAATAAAGTGTTGAAATTAAAGCATAGAGATAGTCCAAGGCATTTTCAGACTAAAGGAGACAAGCCTGCATTCATCTCACCTAAACCTTGACTAATTTAGGGAATAATTCAGCCCACGTAAAATCTGACTCACACTTCAATGGTTCCTGTCTTTGCATTAACGACAGGGGGAGCCATGGGAAAGGCACTTCCTAAATTAATTGTCTGGCCTTAGACAGGATAAAACAGAGTCTTAGTGGTTTGGTGTAAAGATTGATGCTTTTAGTATTATCATCAATCATTTGGAAGTAAACAACAGGCTAATAAAAGTCACAGATGCTCCTAAATTGGAAAGTTTTGCAAATAGCAGGAAACACAGAAAGCAATAAGAAATACAGACAGGAAACACAATGAGAATAATCTGGGGAAATGGAAAATAATTAAAAATAAAACCATTGAAGGATCTTTGAAAGGATAAAGTTTGAAAGAAAATGCAATGAAAATAGCCTGGAGCTTACAGAGGCCAGCAAGTTAGCACAAGTTTGAAATATGGCAGCAGGACAGTATGACTTGTAGATGTATAAACAAAAGGCACGATGGTGCTGGGGGGTATTAGCCCTTCTTTGAACAGCTCAGGTAAAGCCGCACCCGGAGTGCTGCATTCAGCCATTCAGATGTGGGGATTTCAGCAGGGAAAAAAAGGGGAAAAAAAAAAAAGGAAAAGAAAAAGATAGCAACAAATTGAAGGCAATTCAGCAAAACAATCCAGGGGGCGAGGAGAATGACTCACCAGAAAAGATTAAAGAAGAGCACATGTATTGCTCCATTTTGGTAACAGCCACAGTTGGACATGATAACCATGCACAAATTGTGCCCTTAGGACTGAAAGGGATAATTTAGTGCTGTTCACAGTGTTTGACTAGGAGTAATGGGATGAAATTAAGAAAGGGAAAATCTGTTTTGAATACCACAAAACCCTTCCTGACAGTAAGATTCATTAGACTGTGGAAAAGCCTCCATCGGGGGATAATGGAGAAGGTTCACATGTAAAATCTGTCAGCTTCAGCTTGCAGGTGTGCTTACCAAAATTACCTTCAGGTTCTATCCACATGGTTTTGCATGTTAAATTATACATTTACAATCCACACACCCCCTACATCCCCTTCTCCCCCCTGCCTCCAGAAATTCAGTCTGAAATGGTGGATGTAATTCTGTGCTGCACCTTCTGGAGACAAAGGACACAAGGTACAACCCACAATGGGGAGAGGGAGGAGGGAGAGGAGGAGAAAACAACTTTAAATGGGGGGCTGTATTAATTTATGGAAGCACTACCTGGGCATCAATAGACCCTGAATTATTTGTTTTGTTCAGTGGTGAAGCAGCCGAGCTCTTCGTCCCATCTTACATGGGATTCCTGTTTGGTCCTATGCTGTGCCTGCACTGTGAGATTCCCCCTCTAGTACCTTTCTGTACAATGTGGACTCCCACATGTTTCTCAAACCTGTGTACAAGGGCTGCAGCGAGGGCCAGAATCAGTTGCCTTGAATTTAATCTGCTTGAACATCAAAGCCAAGGAAAACCACTGAGTTTGTTGTGGCTTTCGCCTAGCACCATAAATCAATCCCAGTCTTGAAACGGAGCCCAGGTTCACCTGCAAGGGTCACCAACTGTGGTGCGTTTTCCATTTAATGTACTCTGAGCTTCACAAACTATGTAAGTGTTGCAGGACATCAGACCCCATGGAAATTTCTCCTGGCTCAGCTGGAAATCACACTGCTTATGATGCCTGAATCTACATCCAACAGAACACTAGCAAATGATTTATGGGGAAGGGCGATGTCAGAGCTACAGACAAGGTAGCTGGGTCTCCTCCCCACCTCCCTTTTTAATTATTCTATGGCACATGGGACTTCAAAAAGTGCAATAACCCAGGCCTTTTCGAACCACTATATTCTACAGGTAGTTTCTTTTAAAAAAAGTCCATCTTTTCCCTCACCTCTTCAATTCTTCATTCTTAAAAAATTTGTTTCAGCAGGTATGCTAGGAAGAGCAAACAACTGGTGATCCAAAGACTATTGTGTTTAAAAAATAGTTAACAATTCCAATTCCACTGAAAAAGGACAAGAATACGAAGTAGTCAATGTGGTTTAAGAACAGAGCGCAGAAAAGTTTTGAGGGGAAAAAAGAAAAATGCACACTGAGAGTAGAGCTATTTTGGGGAAGTGAAGATGGATGGAGAGGACCAGGCAAGATTTGGACAAAACTGAACTGCAAGCAGAGCTAAGAGAAATATGCAAGTATATTTAAAAGGTATATTGCGTGGGGAAAAAGAGACACTGGTAGGAAAAACCAAAATGTGTATGTAGGTGGAATTGCGAATCACTCTAAATAAGCTGATCTGTTTAATTTCCTTTTTCAGCTGGTCTTTGACAAGAAATTGAAGAAAACGTGACCGAGTCACAAGGAAGTAGTGCTTCAGCAATGTAGGAGTATACAAGAATTGTTCAGGGAAAAACATTAGAATCCACCACTGATCATTGGGAGTAGATGAGATGAATCCCAGGGCATTAAGAAAATTATTTCATTCAAAGACACTTTATAAATTTGCTGAATATTGGAGCAGATTTGTGTTAAGGGAAAAGTCCCTTTAATGACTCCCTATCTGCTGCTTTCTTCTTTTCAGTGTGATCATGCATGCGATGGTACTCCGTTATCATACCAGATTATAAAGATTAAAAGGGCTAAAAATGTCACATAACTTAGCAAGGTTTGCTTTTAATTTGCCTTCAGCTACACAAATGTCATTTTGCTCTGAAAAAAATCATTGCAACTAATGTTATGCATCAGAATGGTGTTACAGCAATGTTTATTTGGAAGCAGTGTCAAAGAGTTCACAACATTGTAGAAAATGTTGCTCAAAATATTCAAAGAATGTATCTGGGTGTTTGGTGGGAGAGTTGTTTCTGGCTTGTTATGGTTATTTTTAAGATACCTTAATCTCTGGCAATGCCCGTAAGTAGCAAAATGCAGGCTTATTGTAACCACATTTATCTCCAGAGGTCACAGAAATCTAAAATAAGAGAGGTCAGCTTGTTCCCAACATATTTGCCAGAAACAGAAAAACAGATTTTAGTTCCAGCTTAAGGGACAGTGTTTGTTGCTTGTCTCTTGGGACACAAACTAGATACCCCATATTTTATCGCAGTGATAGTTCTGTCCAAAGCTGTGATTTTGATAAGATTCAAATGAGGCGAGCGATAACGAGAAACAGTGAATGTAGATGCTGACATCTTTTCCTAATTGTTTCCTGGTAATGGAATAGAAATGCTCTCATAGTTGTTTCTCATTCAGACTAATACATGGCCAAACATCTAGTATACGCTTCTTGTTTGCAATCCATTTTTTCTTTTTTTTTTCTTAGTGGCAGAGACTTGATATTATTAGGTGGAGACCACTTTTATACCTAGTGTGGATTGTTCCCTTCTGCCTGTATTTTGGCTCTGTTGAATCCATGCTCATCTGAGGAGTGCATTTCATCACCATTGTTAATGCACACATTTCCAACACTGGCAGTCATACACTATAAATAGAGGCCAGTGACTGAGAGCAGGTAAACAGTAGCAAAGTGAAAGTAGCAAAGGCACAGTGAAGTGGGAGATGCATATGGATGGAGATGCTTGTTGAAGGAAAACACAAGCTAATTTGGGGATAGAAATTAAAAAGTGCCAGGAATCGAGAGCAGAAAAGCATTTCACAGACTTACAAGTCTATCAGAAAGTACGGAGATGCTGCATAATCTCACACATAACATTATACTAAGAAATAACTCCTAGCAACATACTGAAATGGGGAATAGCAGAGCTCACAGGGAACAACACTTTGAGAAAAGAAAGAGGACAGGCCCCAGGTTTAAGGTGCTTTACCCTGTCTGCCACAAGGAAAGCAGCAGGTAGAGCACAGCATGCAGCTTTAAGCACTGGAGAGCTATTTTTTCCTTTCTGTCTGCCCTCAACTCTCATCTGACCGCCTCCCAAGAGGCAGCAGAGATTCCTTTAACAAAGTTCCTGACACCGGGACATGGCTTAAAAGTTGAGAGTCTTATCTGTGCACTCGTCTAGCCTCCGTTGTAGTCAAGGTAAGAAGGTAGGTACGTCCCAAAGGCAATCCAAGAGCAGTGCCTGAGTTAGAGGGCCAGATTTCTCTCTGTGTTTACTCTGCTTCCAGTGAAGGAACTGAGATGCGTAATTTTTGTGGATTATAGTTGGGTGACATAAATACTCTGCTTAAAATCAGTGGGATCCTAAGTATGATTAAAGTTTGCTTGCACAGGAGCAAGAGATAAACATGCACAAACTACACTGAATAATGCCAACTTCAAGACTTCTTTCTTGAAAATGACTACATTACAATATTTAATATATTCTCTAAGATGAATATTGATTTGTAGGCCTCATTGAAGAACCTCCATCTACCTCTTCTCAAGCTATTTGAGCAAAACCTCTTATTCCCTAATAAAATCAGAATGGAAAAAAAACCCCGATTTCGTGGAAAATAGGTATGTAGTCTACATTTAGAAATGTGCAGTCATTTAGAATCAAGGGGAGGTTTTTGGCTACTTCAGGAACCTAGCCAGAATATGATCCCTTAAATAATCAGTGAAAAGAAGTGAACTGTTCTGAAGGGCAATTTACAGCACCTGTTAGAAGCATAATTACAAAATTAATTTCTCTCTTTGCTTTTAAGTGGCTGCTTGTTTCTAAATTAATTTATTTTTAAAAGGGTAAAATCAGCAAATATTTAAAATTAATTGAATTTTGTGATTGTTTTTTTTTTTTAATCAAAATGTTCGATTTCTTTGAAATATTTTCTCTCCCCAACTTTAACATGAAAACAAAGATTTTGGTAGGACAAAAAGGGGCATCCTAACTAGCTTTAGTTACAAGCTTTCTATGTCATGCTGAGAGCTGCTCTTGCAGATTTATGGAAGAGACTAATAATACTCATAACTTAACAGTAACCCTATAAAAAATTTCCAGCTGCCTTAGCCATCTCTATCTACTCTGTAAATACAATGTCTTTAAGAAACTCTGAATGTCAGATATGTAGAAATGTAAGGATAATTGGAACTAATAATGAAGAAATCTATCTGTATTTTGAATACAGATTTATCAAGGACAATGAATTCAAGTGAATGGGAGGAAAGAAGAAAGAATTCTGAAGCTCTAACCAGAAAACACTACTTAATATTTACAATATCTACAATCCTAGCAGTATTTTCTGCCAGTATTTGAGTATTCAATAAACCAGTGCTACAAGAAAAGGCCAATCTGATGCTAGATGGTACGTGAATGTCACTTGGAAGATTTGTCTCATCACTCTGCTCTGCTTGGTAACTGATTTTGTGCCCTTGCTTTGGCACTGACGCTGAGAGAATACGGTGATAGATTTCAAGAATCTCACCTTTGGCACCTTAGCCAAAATTTGATCTCAGAGTAAAACCACACAATGAAAGCATGAGAGTGAAGACCTGAGTTTGAGAAAGGAGACTGGGAAAGACAGAGATGAAACTAGTTTTAGAACCAGGACAGGTTCAAATGGCAACTATCAGGAGTACTAGATGCAAAAACCTTGCCACGCATCAGAAAAAGACAGCAAACATATGCATATGTATTATGCATCAAAACAAGGGAGGCCAATTAAAGACCTGTGTGTAGTAAAAACCATATAAATGAAGGCTCTCCTTCCAAAGAAAATGGAAGAGCAAGTTTTGTGATGATTTCATTGCAGAGGCTAAGCATGGTGTGATTTCAAGGCAGTCCAAAAGGAAGGTGAGGCAGGCTGTTGAATATAGCACTGGCCCAAGGAGCTGTGTTTTGAACAGCCTTGGGTTGTACTGCCTTAAAACAGCTCTTTGAATTTCTGCATATTTTTATAAAAAAGCAAGGTTACTTTGAGTGCCCTGGAACCATGTTAGTGATTTCTCATGTAAACTGGAACTACTCCATAGGTATCTGATCTACGGGATCAGTGGACTAGACATTTTGGGCATATTTTAAAGGAAGTCAAGTCTTGTTTCCCCAGTCTGAAAAGAAGAATCTGAAATATAAGACATGTAGATGGGGAACGGTGCAGGTTTTAAAGATGGGCAGAATATATTGAAAACTGAGATCTCATCAAGCAAACACTGAACTTATTAAAGAAATCCTGGTTCTAATTAGTGGGTGTCCATTTTAAAAACTCATTGTTTTTAATGAAAGTTATGTCTTTCAAGAAAGAAAGGATTTTTTTTTATTTGAGCAAGTCTGCCTAAGTTGTTTATTTTGCCTTTTAATGCACTGGAAAACCCCTTCTAAGAACCTTCTAACATAGTGAGAATACTCTAAGAACTGCACTCTTAAAACCACCTTTTTAAAAGCACAAATATTATCAGTTCCCACTTGGAAAAATTTTGTCTGACAAAGGACCCAAAGAAATTACTTTGACTATGCAAACTGTCATTAGAAGTACTTTACCTGCAGAATAAAACATCCTGTGCAAACGGGGAGTTTTCTGGCTGTGTTCCAGCCTTGAGATGACTGACATTGAAGTATGAGAGCGTGTGATTGATGAAGCCATGCATGGTTCCATTTTGACTGTATGCATATTGATACATAAGGCGTGGAATGAAATCAGATGTGACAGCAATTACAAAAGCCTGAGAGACAAAAAAAAACCAACAACCAAACAACAGCATCGTGAATCTATGTCTAACGTATTTCAGATTAAGTCAATTCAGCTGATAATTTTTACGTTCAAGTAAGTTTAGAATGGTGATGAAGTGGGAGTTAAATGGCCAGACCTGGTACAGAACATATACTTATATAAATGCACAGTAACCTGCTCTGTCTCCCTAGGGGAAGGTTTTAGTTAGGGAAGTGGAATATTTCTTAGAGCATAGAGTAGCAAAAGCAATTAATGTACTGTGCATTTCTCCAACTCTTTCCATCCCTGGAGCCATTGGGAGATTTATCACTAGTTTTAAAAAAACTACAGCAAGACATAATAGCTAGCTGGTATAATTTGGAGTATAATTTGGTGTAGTTACACAGTGTTATCTGAGATAAACCAGTTGAGTGTAAGGTAGTCATCCTCCATTTTCCCCTCTGCATCAGGATTTATATATCTGACATCAGTGGATCTCATGCTGGTATAAAACTGGTAAAATTGCGAAGTGAATCAGACACAGAAGTATCTAGATCATATCAGTAAGAATTCATTAGATTAATTTAAAACTACTTTTTGCTAAATAGTTCTTCTGCATCAATATTATTCAGATGGAGAAGCAGAACTGGGCATTTGGTATTTTTTAAAATTGGGTATGCACATATTTACATTACTGTCAACAAAAAGTAGTTAACTGATATTTTAATGGAATCCCCAGGAAATAAAAATGTTCAGAGTTTGTTTGACACAGAAAATAACCAAGGATCATAAATCTGCAAAGTGTATTCAGATAAAACCGAGGCTGCAGAGTTTTGCTCGTCCAGCAGATCAGTGCTGGAAACCTGAAATCTATGCCTCACCGCAAAATTATGGGTATGTGCAGGGCTGCACAGATTTCCTACCTTACATCCTGGAAACTTCCAAGCCATAAGTGAACAATGCTCCACCCAAGTCAAACAGCACTGCTTCTCTGCAGGCATTATAGTTCTCCCAGTTGTAATGATAGCTTACATACTGCTACAGTGCTGTTGTGCTGGAAGCTATTGTACCAGATAAATTGCGTAACACCTCTGCACAAGTTTTCCCTTCAGTAGTGACAATCATCTGCCTTTCTAAAGTGCTTTGATACCTTTGATATTTTATGGTTGGACTCAATGATTTTAAAGGTCTTTTCCAACCTAAATGATTCTATGATTCTATAATCTGTGGGTCAAAAACCCACTAGATAGTATTATGATTAAACTCCTAAGACATGAGTCTTTTTTATCTTAAAGCATACACAGGAAAATTTTACTTAAGGAATACATGTAGAACAATAAACATAATGTATCTGTATACTATACATTATGTTCATGTAATCATACTTGTTCTATGAAAGAATGTATTTTTCCGTTAAGGTTTTGTACCTTGGGGAGTGTGTAACCCAACTCAAAAAAAAGAGCTACTCTTATAGAAATACTCGCTTTGTGGGAGAAATTATGTTTAGGGATATAATCATACCTGTATATATCAGAACAAATGCTAATGCTATGTAGCTAAGGACTTTCTGCTCTTAGAATCTAGGATGTTATATTTACATCCTTTTTTATTCATACCAACAGTTATAATAACAGAGTAACAGAAAAAGGCATGGGTATGAATGAGAAGTAGGTCTTTGTCAATTATCTGGAGTGTTGCCTGCTTACATCCCCTTCATTGGTTGTTCTTATACGAATTAGTCTTCCTGTCCTACGTAACACAAGGATAGAGAGAATGAGATGAGTGAACGGTCATCTCATTTGTAATTAAATCATATTTTACACTTCCACAAGAATGAGCTGGATAATTTAGACTTCTTTGTATTTTATAGCAATTGAGCAAATTAGACTTCACTTTTAAATTATGTTGGAGGGACAATTAAACTCCCAAGATCATGGTTAGAAACTGGTGTAACCAAATACTTACATTAATGATAACTGAAAGCTTTCCAATACCACTCAAAATGTTATACCAAATTCCTGTAAGTGAAAACCAGAATTTATTAATGAATTCACTATCATTTTTCTTCTTCCTTATTGAATTTTTGGTGTTATTTTTACTGTTTTTTCATTACTTACCTATATCTTTTGCTCTTGCTGTGTCTGGCCTCCTCAGTTCAGTAACAAACTTTTTTGCATCAAGCCGAACTTCTATGACGTTGTTCAGAAGAGCAAAGACAGGTGCCAGAGGGAAGGAGGCAACAAAGAGTGTGACAAAGCCGAACTGGATAACTGGAAGAGAAATATGTAATGCTTTTTGATATCTTCTGAAGGGAGCTGGTAAATGCAGATGACAGCAAATCGTTGATGAGCTTTGTGGGTTGCAAAACCCATAAAACTCCACTTCACAATGTGGTCCTAGTAATAAATATCACAAAGCAAGGCTTTGAAAGAGAGAAAGGTTTGTCAGGATGCATTATCAACGTTTCTAATAATGCTTCTAGTCTCTAGCACAAGCACAAGCGAAAGTAAATAATAAATTTAATAAAGGACAAAGGGTTTGGGGTGTATTCTTCTGCATTTATACAAAAGTAACTGATTAAGACTGTGCTGTTCTTCCCTGTCCTTTTGCCTGTAAGGAAAATGATACACAAGCAAGCAAGAGGAGAAAATCTACAAGGTGTCACTGTTTCTTCCCAGCTTCCCTTGGAAAACTCGGTGGCAATCTGTCAAGAGCAGGAACAGAATAAATGTCTTTGTTGGATGCATGAGCCTGTGGTGTCATACAGCATTTTCATCCCTCCTTATATCACTGATATCCTCCAAAGTTAGAAATCTTCCTCTTTAAGTCCTAGCAAAGGAGAATGCTATTGTCACTTTTTTTTGCTGGGTTTGCAATTTGGGTAAAGTAGTTTGGGAGAAAGAAAGCACTAGTCCACTGGTCCTAAAGAACAAGTAGTATTGCAGTGAAACACAGACTTCCTGAGTTCTCCATGCTTGCTTGTGTAACAGATACACAACTAATAAGCCTGGTTTCTTCCACAGGGAAAAAAAACCAACCAACCAACCAATCAGCCAAAGAGAACCCTCTCACTTTGAAGTGGATGGCACATTTTGTATCATCTTGTTCCCAATATTAGACTGCTAGCACCACAGAGTTCAGCTCAGCACCCATAGTATAATGATACAAATAAAAAGACTACATTGTTGAATTCTGAGTGAATTATGGCTCTTTTCTAGGGCATAGGATGACCTGTCTTTATGCAAACAAATTATCTTCTAAGCAGTTAAGGAACCAATGTCACCCGGCAAAAGCACAGTGCTGACAGAACTGTGTTTTTCTGACAACTCTCAGTGCTCTAGAGTTGCCTGGAATAATGTAGTAGAAAACCAAGTCCCTCCAAGCAAGCTGCTTCAGTTTTTGGGTGGGCAGAGTATCCTTAATTTCCCCTTCTTTCAGGGGCACTTCAGGATCTACCTCAGCTGGGTAAATCTCATTTGGATACAATTGGAGTCTGAAAAGGGCTGACTTTTTTTTTTTCTTTTCCTCCAAGGTACTGAGGAATTAACAAATTGCCTAAAAGTCTGTGTCTTCCATGGAAGGCAGGAGGCATCAGTGGTGAATGTTACTCATGAGACCGGATCATTTCCTTGTAAAAATGCTACATTGTTTTAAAGTAATACTTCAGGGAAGTGAGAGACGTTTATTACCCCAGAAAACTAATGAAGAGTAGAAGAGGAAAGAGTCCGAAAAGCACGCTGCTCAGATGCAAAGGCAGTAATTCCAATAAGATTAAATTAGTAAATCTAACTTTGACTTACACTTCAGAATTAAATAAGTAGCAGTATAGAAAAAAGGTTGGTGTGTATGAGGCCCTATTTATTGTGGCTTCTTTTTTGGCAAATCCCTGCATAAGTTCTCTCTCCGCTATGGGAGGAATTTGTTGCACTTTTTGTGAAAATCAGGGGTTTACGTAGCACAACTTTTTACTTTAAAATAATTTCCTTAGGCACTCTTGTCACCACCTAGAACTGACACTGTTGTCACAACCTAGAACACAGCTTTCTCCAGGATCTTCACTTGCATGCATCTTTTTTTGTGTGCAGATTGCAAGTCTTCTGGCTGACAT